TGTAGGGAGTACAGACAAGTAGTGAACCAGAAGCACATGGCTACAACATTTACTAGATCTTACCTTACTAGTGTACGAATAGTAACGTAACACTAGGAAGTAAAATGTTAAAACATCAAACATACCTCTCACCTTACCTGGCACATTGACGAGCTTCTCTGTATCTCTGCGGTGCTTGGAGTACTGCACTGCCGCCCAGGTCCATTCGAAAAACAAGTGTATTATGTAATAGATAGACCATGGGCCAGGCGAGTTTACTGGGATATAGTGTTGCTCCGCCCACAAGGGGACTGCCTGACTCCCGAGGCGATAGCCGAGGGTGTCAGGTATAGTCCCCGAGTGGGTGGGCAACACTATATCCCAGTAAACGAGCCCAAGCCCATGGTCTATCTGACTTAGGACATGGCCATTTCCCCGAAGTTATCTTTCAAACTTATTCAATATCAAAATTTGTCTTGATTTTGCTTTATAAAGCTCTGTTTAGTGTCACTTTTTGCCTGTTTCAAGGAGTTGTTTGGCTGTCCATCTGACCTGATTGACGACAGCTTGGTCGTCAATCAGGTTAGATGGACAGCCAAACAACTCCGAGAAAGCTGGTCTGTTTTGGTGATTAGCCTGCACAGAGGGGGGACCTGGTTTCAATTATACCCAAAAAGTGTGGTACTATCTGAAAAGTGTGGTACTAATTTTATGCAAATGAGTTTTAGTACCACACTTTTCAGTTAGTACCACACTTTTTTAGTATAGTACAACACTTTTTTGTCACTATGGGGATATAGACACAGAAAATGAAGGGCTCTCATTGGCTGAGGGGTAGTGGCCATGTTCTAAGTTATAGTATTCTGTTTTATTTATCCACAGAGCCCGATACCTTCCTTGGGCTTGAGAAGGTAACTGACTTGAACCTTCGAAGGAACGCCATTTCCGTCATATCCCAGCATGCATTCCGCGGCCTATCTGTCCTTAAATGGTTGACGTTAAGCATGAACCGTCTGCGTTCCGTGCCTGTCGTCGCACTCCTGCCGCTTACAGCACTTAAGATTGCACACTTTCGAAAAAACCACATCACCACGATCGACAGCCAAATCCTGCGTCTGAATCACAACCAGACTGTACGTCTGCTTTTAGCAGACAACCAGCTGAAATGTGATGCGAATCTCACCTGGTTCATCTGTAATCTACCAGACATGGACTACATTTCTGGTCCTGAATTCCTAAAGTGTGTGTCACCTGCCAACCTGAACGGCACTCTACTAGCCACCGTGAGGAAGGACATCAGTCAGACCAACACGGACAGGTCACCACATGTACAGGGGATCAGGCTGGGGAGATGTGACGTAACGTCCACCACAACAGGTCCACATACCCACCACACCAGTCTGTACAACCACACAAGTCTGCACAACCACACCAGTCTGTACAACCACACCATTCCCACAGAGATGACATACACAAACACCAGGCCAGGCTCAGAGTCTACCACAGGGACTGACGTTTTCACTCTTCACGGCGGTCCAATCATCAATGAGGAAGACAACAGTTACCACGTCAATACCGTCATCATGGCTGTTGCTGTGCCTCTCCTGATGGTGTTGGCATCGGGGGTTGTCGCCTACTTGTACGAACGCTGTCGCGGCACAGGCCCCCCTGTTGAAACAGATGGAAGCCAAAAGATTGAGCCGTACGCTGTTACCTACTCAAACTCTGCCGGACTGCGAGCATCAGGCACACAAACAAGTCCTTCTCAGGACCAGACAACAGAGGGTAACAATGACATTGAGCCATACGCTGTGTCATACATGGATGTGTCGGGGAAAGGGAAAAACGGCAAGCTTGCGCCATACGCAACAACCTCCTTTGCTAACATCCAGACAGCAGAAGACAGTGATAACATCCAGCCAATAGAAGACAACGATGACATTGAGCCGTACGCTGTGTCATACATGGATGTGTCAGGGAAAGGAAAAATTGGCAAGCTTTTTCCGTACGCAACAACCTCCTTTGCTAACATCCAGACAGCAGAAGACAGTGATAACATCCAACCATATGCCGTGTCCTATGTTGATGTCTCAGGGAAGGGGCAAAATGGCAAGCTTTTTCCGTATGCAACAACCTCCATCGATGAAGACCCAGGCCCACAGCTTCAGCCGTATTCAGTGACCCACGATGAAGACCCAGGGCCACAGCTTCAGCCATACGCAGTGACCCACGATGAAGACCCAGGACCACAGCTTCAGCCATACGCAATGACCCACGATGAAGACCTAGGGCCACAGCTTCAGCCATATGCAGTGACCCGCGATGAAGACCCGGGGCTACAGCTTCAGCCATATGCAGTGACCTACAATGAAGACCGAGTACCATTCTCCAAACCATTGTTTAGGAGTCAGTCACTGCCAAGAGTCCATACAATGGCAGGTTATACATCACTGACAAATGTCCCTAACCAACAGACAACAAATGTCAAACAACCGGTCACCCAAACAAGGCGTCAGTCACTGCCACGAGGCTTCGTGGGGTCAGGTTATGCGTCACTGACAAATGTCACTAACCAACGGACAACAAACGTCAAACAAACGGTCAACAAATCAGAGGGTCAGTCAACGGCTTACGGTCAGTGCGAAAGTTTGGACAGCACATCTCCCAAATTGTATAGCACAGCTCAAGGTCAGCGCGAAAGTTCGGACAGCACATCTCACAAACTGTACAGCACGGATCAACCGCAGTGTGAAAGTTTGGACAGCACATCTCCCAAACTGTACAGCACAGCTCACGATCAGTGTGTAAGTTCGGACAGCACGTCTCACAAACTGTACAGCACAGCTCACGGTCAGTGTGTTAGTTCGGACAGCACGTCTCACAAACTGTACAGCACGGCTCAACCGCAGTGTGAAAGTTTGGACAGCACATCTCCCAAACTGTACAGCACAGCTCACGGCAGTGTGACAGTTCGGACAGCACGTCTCACAAACTGTACACCACGGCTCAACCGCAGTGTGTAAGTTCGGACAGCACATCTCCCAAACTGTACAGCACAGCTCACGGTCAGTGCAAAAGTTCGGACAGCACGTCTCACAAACTGTACAGCACAGCTCATGGACAGCATGAGAGTAAATGAAATCAGAAGTGTGCGTTATGAATTTTCAATGAAACAAATTACATTAAATACAGATGTTATTAATGTTAAGACTACTAACTTAGAGAGGAAGCACTGCGTATCTAACATGTAAACCTGAAAGGTTTTAACGGAATTTTGCAAAACATGTCTCTGTCAAAAACCTGTTGCCATGGCAACATGGAAATCATTAACTTCAGTTACTAAAATTGTTGCTTGACATATTTCTGGGAAAGTCACTTTTTGTTGTTCTACACGTGGAACAAGCCGTTTAGACGTTATGTGAAATGAAATTTGGTGCCAACCTCATATATAAGCACCATACCTTTCTGTTGGAAAATTTAGGTTGAAGTGCAAGTGGCTCAGACTAATTGATTGTGTAACAGGATTTAATGTACATGAATATTCAAGCAACCCTACTTGATATATCATGTATGAAGACAACATATTTGGTAACATATATCGACAAAGGAGAAATCAGTGAACACGATGGTGCGAAACACAGCACTGCTCTACTTCCTATTTGTGTTTCCAATCATTTACTTCTCCTTAATACAATAATATAAAATTGTTGCTGGATGTATTTCTGGGAATGTTACTAAGTTTGGTTGTTCTAGCGCAAGTCGTTCCGACATTACGTCAAATGAAATTTGGTGCCAACCTCAAAAGCACCATCCCTTCCTGTTGGAAAATTTAGGTTGAAGTGCAAGTTGCTCAGACTTAATTAATTGTGTAACATTAATGTATATTCAAGTAGCCCTAGTACTATATATATGACGTATGTAGACAACATATTTGGTAACATATACATGTATCGACAAAACAGAAATCAGTAACCGCGATGGTGCGAAAAGCGGCACTGCTCTATTTCCTACTCGTGGTTTCCAACCATTTACTTCTCGTGTCCGCACCCGCTTTATCATGGTGCAATGACGACTGTCGCTCCATTGAAACCAGATCAAACAGCCCAGACAAAAACTGGGCGGGATCCCCCTGCAGCTGGATTGGATACAGAAGGACGTACCGCCCCCCCAAATGCCTCGACTCCATACCAACCGACTTCGACAAAGCCACACGATCGATCTGTATCAAGTATCTCCGTTCTCCGGTGATTTTGGAGTGGTCTTTCCCCAACAGCCCAGGAGTAAAGACACTTCATATCGAACAGTCTAACGTTTCCACGGTACAGCCAGGAGCTTTCCGAGGTCTCCCATTGGTCTGCAATCTATATCTTGTTGACAACCGCATCTCCAGCCTTGGTAGGTTGACAAAAATGTGAAAAAATACATCTTGGGCTCTTGCTCCATGATATCATATTCGAATGACAAAATATTCTGTATGTGTGTCGTGGACATGTGCTCATTGTTTGTTTTTTTTTCGGTTGGAGAATGTAGCCATTTTAAATTTCCATAGTCATCATTAACCAATCTATAGTAGTAGTATTCCTATTTTATACTTGATTTAACACCATAGAAATTCATAAACAAGAGTTTCTAAATCTCATGCTTTTGTGCCAAATCATTTTAGCCTTTCAGTGATACATGTACACGCTCCCAAAATCATATTGGCAAATGAAATAATCTACATTTAAATGACTGATATGATGAATCATGTCAAATTCTCCATGGTCGTTTTTTTTTTGGTGTTTGCTGTCGCCATCTTGATGATCAATTACTGTAAATCCCTGCAAACTTAAAATGACTAACAGTAATTCTGTTTGTTTATCCCCAGAACCTGATACGTTCCTTGGGCTGAAGAAGTTAGAAGACTTGAACCTTCAAGGGAACGGAATTTCCGTCATATCCCAGCATGCATTCCGCGGCCTACCTGTCCTTGCCTGGTTGACGTTGAGCAAGAACCGCCTGCGTTCCGTGCCCGTCGACGCACTCCTGCCGCTTACAGCACTGAGGATGGCAGACCTGGAAACAAACCACATCACCACGATCGACAGCCAAATCCTGCGTCTGACTCACAAGACCATACGTCTGCTTTTAAAAAACAACCGGCTGAAATGTGACGCGAATCTCACCTGGTTTATCTGTGATATACCAAAGCCAGACTACATTCATAAACGTGAACTCCTAAAGTGTGCGTCACCTGCCAAACTGAGCGGCACTCTGCTTGCCACCGTGAGGAAGGACATCAGTCAGACCAACACGGACAGGTCACCACATGTACAGGGGATCAGGCTGGGGAGATGTGACGAAACCGCAACAGGTCCGCATACCCACCACACCAGTCTATACAACCACACCAGTCTGCACAACCACACCAGTCTGTACAACCACACCAGTCTGTACAACCACACCAGTCTGTACAACCACACCATTCCCCCAGAGATGCCGTACACACACACCAAGCCAGGCTCAGGGTCTACCACAGGGACTGACGTGGTCACTCCTCTCGGTGGCCCAATCATCACTGAGGAAGACGACAGTTACCACGTCAATGCTGTCATCATGGCTGTTGCTGTGCCTCTCCTGATGGTGTTGGCATCAGGGGTTGTTGCCTACTTGTACGACCGCTATCGCAGCACAAGTATGGCTGAAACAGATGGAAGCCAAAAGATTGAACCGTACGCTGTTGCCTACTCAAACTCTGCCGGACTGCGAGCATCAGGCAGACGAACAAGTCCTTCTCAGAACCAGACAGCAGAGGACAACGATGACAT